TTTTTTTTTATTTTTTTTTTTTTTTGGGTCTGGTTGTGGGGCCTGAACCACTGAGCCACCTCCCCAGCCCCGTCACAAACTTTTAGAGGAAGGGAGATGTGGTCACACTGGGGTGGACGTTGGAGAAAGCATCATTTTGGAATATTATGAGGCTAGAGCAGACAAGAGTATGTCCTACATTTAAGTGTCAACCAATTGGATGCTAATTGGTTGAACTAATTTTGAAAGGTGGTTTATTGTGATATATGAGACATCCATCGGCTATTAAGAGAAAATGAGGAGGCTGGGAGGATTGCTCAGGGGTAGAGTGCTTGCCTTGCATGCAAGAGGCCCTGGGTTTGATTCCTTAGCACCACATGAGCAGAAAAAGCCAGAAGTGGCGCAGTGGTTCAAGTGGTAGAGTGCTAGCCTTGAGCTGAAGAGCTGAGGGACAGCACCTAGGCCCAGAGTTCAGGCCCCACGATGGACATACACAATAAAAGAGGAAATGAAAACTAAGCAACTAACACAGGAGCACTTGATCTTAAGGACCAGTAGCAATGTACATTTGGGAATCATCAACCTGCACATGTCCTACCTACTGCGCAGCTGGATTAAATCTTCCAGAGAGCACATGGTTACTCATGCAAGGAAGAAAAGGCAGGGACAAAGCCCTAGGTACATTAGCATGTAGAAGTCTCACTGAGGAGGAGTCAGTCTAGAGCTAAATTGTGATCAATGAAGAAATAGAAAAGCAATTGAAGGTAGTGTCTTGAAGAAGAGAAAGTGAGGACAAGGTTAATGCTGCTGGGAGGAGGAGGACTTGGCTGGGGGAGATGGAGATGGAGATAGAGATGGAGAAGGAGAAGCCATGGGTGATCTTGAGAATTGTTCTTGGATACTGGTGAAAACATGTCTGATGTGCAGAAGGAAGATAAAAGGGATATTATAGCACCATCTCTTGACAAATTTCTCCCATAAACTTCATTGTGAAGGAGAACAGAAAGCAAGGTAGGTTTTGTTGAACTGGGTAATATTGGAGCTTATTATCATTCAGATGGATTAGACAGAGGGAGAGTGCAATGGTTTGTTCAGAAGAGAAAGCCAGAAAATTGATTCTAGAGCTTTCTTTTTCTCCTCCTCCTCCCCCCCCCCTCCTCATCTGTCATGGGGCTTGAACTCTGGGCCTGGGCATTGTCCCTGAGCTCTTCAGCTCAAGGCAAGAGCTCTACCACTTAAGCCACAGAACCACTTCCAGTTTTCTGGTGGTTTATTGGAGATAAGAGTCTCATGTACTTTCCTGTCCAGGCTGGCTTTGAACCATGATCCTCAGATTGCAGCCTTCTGAGTAGCTAGGATTATAGGCGTGAGACACCAGCACCCCGCTAGAGTTAACTTCTTTAGGTGGCTGAGAGAAATAGAACCTAGACTTAAGGAGTGAGGGGTACCCTTTAATAGCAGCAGAGGCACTTCTTACAACAAATACCACAGGGAAAAGGCAAATTGTGCCAGTATGAATTTGACTATGAAGGTAGATTTGCAAGCAGGACAATGTAAGAGTTCCTGCAGTAAATATTTATTTTCTCTGTGAAGCACTAGATAAAGGTACTACTGAGAGTGAGGGGAGAAAAGGGGATGCTCAGTGCTGCAGAAGTGGGACAAGGTGTGATAAGGTCACCTTGCAGAGTGGGAGAGCAAATGTACCAGGGAAGAGTGATTGGCAATCTTAGCAGTGCTCGGCACCTGCTTGAGTGGCAGGATCATGAATTTAAAGTGAGACCATCCAGTGGAATTTGAAGGTGAGACTACTGAGCAAATAGTTTCTAGCAATTCTGTGCTTCTCCAATGTATGAGTATGGTAGTTTTAACTAGAACTGGGACTGTGTAGAAAAGAAGAGGGAATCTTGAATTTGTCTTTGGTGGGTACTTTTTTTATATTGTTATTATAATCTGCACCCTTGTATCATTTTTATATCCATTCTAATTATATTTCTATAGCTCTTTTATATAAACAGATATATTATTAATGCATAAGTATATTACTTTATTTGTAATATTTTTAAATATTTATTTTGATCTTCATATTAATTGGAATTGATGACTACTAGGTCTACAATGACCTAATTAAAATATTAAAATAATACTATTCACAGTTGAAATGTATATGGTAGTGCATTACTGTAGTATATAGTAAAAAATATGTACTTGATATTTTATCTCTGGTTCCTGACATAAAGTGTTTACATTGCTTGGAGTTTCCTGGGTCACAGGACTGTCTTTTGTTCTAATGAGGTGACTTTTGGTTGCTTCCTATTAGCTTAAAATGGTGGCGGGTCATTAAAACCAAATCATAATTGAAAGCTTGAAATTTTCAGTCTCCCATGCCATCCTCCAGGAAGAGGAGCAAGGCTGGAGATTGAGAAAATGATTGATCATGCTGATATGATAGAATCATTAAAAAATCTTTGAAGTGCTGGGTGCTTGCAGTGAAATAAGAATATTGAATCTAACCAGTGCTATCTTGGCCATGTGGTGGATGATAGGATGTAGAGTTTAACTTGTGCCATTCTGTCTTCAAGGTAGAAGCAGGGAAGCTCTACCTCCAAGTGATAGGCATGCTTGAATTTCTAGAGGTAGGGGTGAAGGTTTGGATGCTGGGTTACTGGACCTGTCAGTCCCGTGCTTAAGCTCTCAAGCTCCCTGTGCTCTTGCCCTCCCACTGGGCTCTATGTAAGCACAGATCAGCTCAGGTGCCATTATGCCATGCTTCTTGTCTAGTGTCTCCTGTCTCTCTTTCAGTCATCACAGCATCTCACTTCAGCTCTCCATTAGAGCTGATCTGGTTTGTTGGTATCGTTTTTCTGTTCTTTCTTTCCTCTCCTGCTCACATGGCTCAGTTTTCTGACAGTGTTAAGTATATTTGAAGGTCTGTGGGTCTTAGTGACAAGAGTCCATCTGTAGCCACTGCCTCTCCAGTAAAGACTCTCAGTTTAGCCTCTCAAAATGTTGCTTCTGTGTTTCTCGCCATACAACAGTAGCTCATGCCTGTAATACTAGCTGCTCAGGAGGCTGAGATTTGATTACTGTCTCAAAGCCAGTCTAGGCAGGAAAGTCCATGAGACATTTATCTTCAATTAACCACCAGAAACTCGAAGTGGAGTTGTGGCTCAACGTGGTAAGAGTGCTATGTAGCTCAAGAGCTAGATAGCTATCTAGTAGCTCAGGGACAAGCACCCAGGCCCTGCTGAGTTCAAGCTCCAGGACAAAAAATATTTGAAATACTAGAGAACATCGAGGTTAATGTATTTATCCATGCAGAGAGAGGGTGGTGATGCTAGACTCCATGGAGCGGAAGTTCCCAGGCTTGAGACCTTCGTGGACCTTGTTTTTGTACCTGTTCATCTCAAAGTTCATTTACTTCATTTGCAATGTCATTTATTTTTACAACAACAACAACAAAAGGCTGGTAAATGTAGGTGAGTGCTTTACTGTTGTTGCAAGAAGTGGGGAATGGGATCTGATCCATTTGATGTACAGCAGGTTGTTAATAAGTATGGGTCACAATCTGGAACCTGCAACTGGCTTCTGACTCTTTAACCTGTGTGGGCCAGGGCCAACTCCTTGTAGTTAGTGCCAGACGTGAATTAAAGCAGAGGATACTCCTGGGACATTCATGTGTATCAACTGAGAACTGGAGAATTGCTTGGTATGAAAAAATCCATACAGGGCTGAGAAGTTGGCTCAGTGGTAGAGCGCTTATCTTGCATGCATGAGGCCCTGGGTTCGATTCCTCAGCACCACATAAGCAGAAAAAAAAAAGCTGGAAGTGGCGCTGTGGCTCAAGTGGTAGAGCGCTAGCCTTGAGCTGAAGAGCTGAGGGACAGCGCCCAGGCCCAGAGTTCAGGCCCCACGACCAGACCAAAAAAAAAAAAAGAAAGAAAAAATCCATACATTTGATGTCAGAAGTGTAAGTGGGAAAAAGAAAAGCAGTTGTTTTTTCTTCCATATGCTATTAGATATTATAGTAGCCATAGAACAATGCATCCTTACTAAATAATGTGGTGCTTCACGAATAATAATATCTATTTATATGTTACACAAATAACATATAGGTTAGAAACAATAAAGAATCTCTGAGCGTGGGGGTGGTGGTGGGGGGAGATGGGAAGGGATGGGAAGGGGAAACAATGTTTGGTAATAAATGTACTCATTTCCTTGTTCATGTAATTGTAACCCCTCTATATGGTATTTTCACAATAAAAAAACTAATTAAAAAAAGAATCTCTGGGAAGAAGTAACATGTTATTAAAGGGAAGACCAATAAAATGGAGAACTTAAGCCACTATTAGCAAGAAGCCATTGAACTTATTTGAAAAATTTCCTTACTACAACATACAAGTAGACAAGGGAAAGTGATAAGGAATACATTTGTAGACATTTTAGGACTCATTTTGACTCCATTTTGTCTATGCATTTAATTTGTACTGACAGCCTAGCACCATCTTAACAAATACAAGTTCTAGTTACTTCCAATATTCAGTAAGTCTGCCAACTTACCACTATATGTAAAATTCATAACAAAGCCAAGTAATGCTACATCATTGGCACAGGGGCACTTTGTCACTTTGAGATCCAGCACATGTGGATATAATAAGCTGAGCTGGTCTGGGGTCATTACATTTCCAAGATTCCACTGAAGAATAGGTTCTGTGGAAGTCAAATGCAGAAGTTTAAATTGTAGTTAATTCTTGAAAATGGAGCTTAACTACTTGCCTTTCACAGTACGTTAAAGAAACTATGTAAAAAAACTATTTGATAGATTAAAAACTAGTGCAGTATGATCTCACTCATCAGTCAAGAATAGAGGAAAGTCTTATTTTCCAGAAGGAATGAAGTCTAATTCCCTCAAAGGGAGCTGGGAATGTCGCATTGTGAAAGATCATGTCCATGAGAAATACTGCTCTGGCCACATGTTGAAAACATCATTAGTCACAAGCTCTGTCCCTAGAAATGGAATTGTTGGACATAAGATATGCACATTTATAATTTTGAGAGCAGCTTATGCTTCAGCAGCTGACATTCACCTTTTCTTCTTTTCCACATCCCATTGAAAGAGTAGTAGATTAAAAAAAAATGAAGCTTTTGGTTAAGATCAAGTGTAATAACAGGGCACTGGTGCTCATGCCTATAATCCTAGCTACTAAAGAGGCTAAGATCTGAGGATTATGGTTCAAAGCCAGCCCAGGCAGGAAAGAAAGTCTGTGAGAGTCTTATCTCCAATAAACAGCCAGAAAACCAGAAGTGGCACTGTGGCTCAAATGGTAGAACACTCGCCTTGAGCTGAATCGCTGAAGGACAGCACCCAGGCCCAGAGTTCAAGCCTCACAACTGACCCCCCAAAAAAAGATCAAGTGTAGTATTTGTCCCTATCAGTTCAGTATCTGGTCCTTATTCAGTCTGCAGTGAGTATATTAAATGGATCTTTGGAGCAGGAGATAAATACCATTCATCAATCTGGTATTGTAGTACCTCCAGGAAGGGTGCCCAAAAGAGGAAAAGAAGAGAGGGAATAAATCCAGAGTAGCAATGCAGATCAGGGGAAGTTATCATTGGTGGCTAAGAGATTTAGAAGCTTCTAGAAAACAGAAGTTGGGAGTAAACTAACAGGAAACATCAATCCAATGTCAGTTTTTCAGTAAAGCAAAGGTTGAGTAGAGGTACAGACTTGGAAAGGTCTATTATATGGCAAATAGCTGTCTGGGATCTACTATCTTTTAATTCTTCAGCTTTAACTTTTGCTAGACTATAGCTCAAGGGCCTTTGAATATTTGTTGTTTCTTTAATCCTTTCTTTCTGGTCTTCATTTGTATGTCATTCTTTCCAGGGAGCCTTCTAGGAACCCATAGAATGAGTGAGGCTCTCATTGGGTGATCCAATAGAGTCCTGACATTTACCTCGAATACTATCCAATAGAGTTCCTTCAGTAGTGTAAATATTTAATCCTTGATGTAAAGAGATCCTCACTAGCCATTGTTCTGTAGCTGCAATATCTGGAAATAAAAGACAATTGGATATTTTAAAAAAGTCATGTTAATGAAATTTAAGGATTAGTGAACATTACCAGCAAGGATAATTTTTCCGACTATAGGTTTCCCACAAACATTGCAGTGATAAAATAATGACAAATAATTATGAAGAAATCTTATCATATCAATAAGTCTAGATAGTTTAGATAATAATTTTTCCCCTAGAGATGCTGTGAGTTGCTAAAAGCAAATTAATACCTTCTTGTAAAGTAGTGTAATGTTATTTAAAAGTACTCATCAATTAAAGTCCAGGATCTGATGGTTTCATTGTTGAATTTCTACCGCTATCCACTTAAGGGATAAGTAACATAACTTCTTCTTAAATTATTCAAAAAACTGAGGGGAAAATATTTCCAAACTTATTCTACAAGACCAGCATTATCCTGATACCAAAACCATACAAGGACCAACTAGAAATTAGTATGCTAGATAGAGAAGTAAGAATCTGTAACAAAGTACAAGAAAATTAAATTTCTAGCACATTAAAAACACTATGTGTTATAATTATGTGAGATTCATTCTGGATGCAAGGATGGTTCAATTGTAAGAAAACATAATCCAAATAAGATGTGGAAAAGATTCTAAACAGACATTTCTCAAGAGAAGACATAAAATAGAAAGCAGAGATATGCAGAAATTGTCAACATGACTAATCAGGAAAATGTAGATCAAAATCACAATGAAATACCTATTTATACCTGTTACAATGGATAGAAACACTAAGACAACAGGAAGTGTTAGAAAGGATTTGGATAAATGGAAATGTCCATCAACATAACTTTTTTTTTTTTTTTTTTGTGGTTGGGCCTGGGCACTATCCCTCAGCTCTTCAGCTCAAGGTTAGCACTCTACTACTTGAGCCACAGTGCCACTTCTGGTTTTCTGAGTGGTTTATTGTAAGCATGAAATCCCAAGTTCAATTCCCAGTATTACCAAAAATAAACAGAAAATAAAATAACAAATAAATAAAAGGCAACAAAATGGGAGAAAATATTTACAAATATCTTGCATTTGAAGCTAGAATATATAACAAATTTACAAAAATTGCATCATTTACCATACTAAATGGTAAATATACACACAAAAAGTTATCAATGTAATTAATTTACTAGGAAAACATAAATTAAAGCACAAGTAGCCAGGTGCCTGTGGCTCACGCCTTTAATCCTAGTTACTCAGAAGACTGAGATAATGTTTTAAAGCCAGCCTAGGCAGGAAAGTCCTCGAGACTCTTATCTCCAGTAAACTCCTCAGAAAAAAGCCTGAAGTGGTGCTATGGCTCAAATGGTAGAGTGCTAGCCTTGAGAAAAAGAAGCTCAGGAGGGGGTGGGGTGGGGAGGATGGGTAGAGATGGGAAGGGAAAACAAAGGAGGAGGCTACAATGCTAGATAAGAAATGTACTCATTATCTTGCCCATGTAATTGTAACCCCTCTGTACAGTATTTTCACAATAAAAAAAAAGAAATGGGACAATCTAAAACCCCAACTATTACAAAAAAAAAAAAAAAAAGAAGAAGAAGCTCAGGAACAGAGCCCAGGCCCAGAGTTCAAGCCCCAGGACTGGTCAAAAAACAAAACGAACAAACAAAAACAAACCAAAACCAAAAAACCACAAGTAGATTCTATATATATCTTATTAGATAATACTCCATACTATCTAGTGGTGGTTTCATTCATAATAGCTCCAACTTAGGAAAACTCAAATGCCCTTTAATGAAATTACCTATGGCAAAGCCATATAAAATAATACTACTTGAGTAAGAAAATGGGAGAAACTACAACATAGGTGGATCTGCAATGAATTAGGGCAACTGAAAGAAACCAGACTCAAAGGCTGCATATTTTATGATTCCATTTATATAACCCCAGAATAGGCTGCACAATAGGAGAAAACAGATTAGTGATGACGGGAGCTGGGAGACCGAGTTCTCACAAATAGATGTAATTATGAATTATAAGTTTCTATACAAAACAATTTCCATCACTCAAAATCACTCCATTTGTAGTCAAATTTGTCACTTTCTCTGAAGGAGAGCACCCATAACACTGCAAGTATGACTGTAGTGACTCCACAATTATATTTACTTCTGAGACCTCAGAACTGGACACTACTGTAGGATAGATTTTAATAAGCATAAATTATGCCTTATTTTCAAAAAGAAAAAAATAAAATTATACCCTATAAATCAAGGAGAGGCTACTTTTTCTTTTTTTTTTTTTACTGTCAATGGTTATATGAAAATAAAAATTTTAAATTAAAGTTTGTAACTGGGCAACAGCAAGGGAAGGGATGCTCCAAAAAGAAATGTACTCATTAGCTGAAGAGGTGTTCTAGGAATTTGGATTTGGACTGACCACTAGGAAAAATATGAAATAATGCAAAGGTGTGCCAGTCTGCAAAAAAAGATAAATATTGATTTATAGAAAATACAGATAATAACTATAACCCCTCTGTATATCACCTTTATCATAACAATAAAAATTTAACAAAAAAGAACATATAGATAAAAGAGTCAGGGAGAAAGTTACACTTTGGGTTCTTGATAGCTTTCTATTTCTTCTTTCTTTCTCTCTCTCTTTCTTTCTTTTCTCCCCTCTCTCTTTTTGTTGGTCATGGGACTTGAAGTCTGGGCTGGGTGCTGTCCCTCAGTTCTTTAGCTCAAGGCTACACTCTACCACTTGAGCCACTTCCAGTTTTCTGGTGGTTTCTTGGAGATAAGAGTCTCATGGACTTTCCTGCCAGAGCTGGCTTTGAACCATGATCCTCAGATCTCAGCCTCCTGAGCAGCTAGGATTACAGGTGTGAGCAACTGGTACCTGTCTCTATTTATTATTTCTAATTTTTTCCTATAGTTTTGGCTGAATTTTTGTTTGGGTTCCATGACTAAAATGAATTTATTCTTTTTTCTTACTTGAAGGTATTTTGTTTGTTTCTTGTCTATACCCTACTAAAGCAACAAAAATTATTTTTTAAAATTGTCTAGGTGATGTGCAGAGGTGTTACAGTTATATAAGTAAGGTAATAAGTACATTTATTGTTGAACTTGTTACCCCCTCCCTCATTTTTCTCCTCCTTTCCCTCTCTCCCCCAATTCCATCCCCCCCCTGAAGTTGGACGGATCATTTCCAACATATTGTCTTGTGAGTATTGCTGTTGCATGGGTCCCCCCTTGTCCTTTATCTTACCTTCTGTTGTTCCCTTCTCCTTCCCTAATTAAGATAAATGTATTTTAGTAGTCAATGGAGCTTGAACTCAGGGGCTCAGGCTCTTGCTTAGCTTTGTCACTCAAGGCCATTTCTCCACCACTTGAGCCACATCTCTACTTCCCACATTTTGGTGGTTAACTGGAGATAAGAGTCTTCTAGACTTTTCCACCAGAGGTGGTTTCAAACTGTGATCCACAGATCTCATCCTCTTGAAGAGCTAGGATTATAAGCATGAGCCACTGGTGCATTCCTTCCATCATTCTTCACTTATGAAATATATTTCATGCCTACCATTAATAACTTGGTCTACTAGTTTAAAACTCATAATTACTATAACTACTATAATTGGAGTTTCTCCTTTTTTCTTCTAGGTCTTTACAATAGCATATAATGTAACACTACCACATAATACTTCATAGTAAGAGCCCATAATAATACAATATGTATTACAGCATGCAAAAATTAAAGATTAACTCAATTTCAGTAAAAATGTTAGTGCCATATTTCTTTTTCTTTCTTTTTTTTTTTTTTTTGTTGGTCATGGGGCTTGGACTCTGGGCCTGGGCGCTGTCCCTCAGCTCTTCAGCTCAAGGCGAGCGCTCTACCACTTGAGCTACAGCGCCACTTCCGGTTTTCTGGTGGTTTATTGG